TAGCTCTGCAACATTTGGATGAAGAAGAACTGTTCCTACTGGACATGATGGTGGAGCGTAGATATTTAACTATATAGAAATTAACCCAACAAAAGCAAATTTGCTGCCATTAACCAAATATCCCCAAAAATTGAAAGTGGTTAAAAATTATCTCTCTTCACCTCGACACTCAGTGCTTTTGCAGATCTTCCGCCAGATCATCTTTGGGATTACAGGTCTGGCCAGACAGTAAATCATGGTTTACTTTGACTCATGCACGCAGTTTCAAAGTCTGACTGAGCACAAAAAAACAAGATACAAACGACAAGGACAATGATGGCTCACAAGTTAATCATGCAGGATGATCAGCTTCAAAGAAAATTTGAATGGAAGTTGCACTTGTCAGTAAAAACTAGCAGAGGCTGCACTGCTGCTCTCACAGAGCAATCTTTACAAGTATCTGTAAAATCAAAAGTTTAAAGAGGAGGGGACTGAATCAGGGCAATTTTTACAACCTAAATCAAACTTTACTACATATGTCCAGAGGTGCTCTTCTCCACCTACCAGGGAGCACATTCAGCTGTTACTGCCTGCAAATAACAATATAAAAACAGTACAGTCCCATGTTGGGAGGCTTTTATGCATCAGAACTTTATTTTCTACACTATACTGGTATTTTCCAGGGTTCAGGCAACACAACCTCTCAAAGGAGCAGAAAAATATATAATAAAGAACATTTTCTTAATATGTCATTAGATTGTATGTAATCAATGTGAGATCAATAGATTCCACCCAAGTATTATGAGGGTTAAAACCTCCAATTCTAGCCGAAGAAAGAAGAAACTAAATTCATATGGATGATTCTCTTAGCATGTGCCATTTGTTCTTCAGTCACAGAGGGTGAGAGGAAACAAAAGAGCAACAGCCAACAAGAGAGATAACTTCATACATATTGAATGTGTAAGAAATAATACACACTGTGACCGAGTTTGTTTTTTGTTTGGTACTAAGGTCATAGAATGATGAAGCACCGATAGCATGGGAAAACCTGTCAGTGTCTGGAACAAAACGTATGCTCCAGATGCATGTTTACCAAAGGAAGATGCCACTATTCCTGAAAAACAAGCCTTAGCATGAGAAAGCCAACATTCTTATAAACCTTGCATCTGTCAAGAATGACTTTGATACTCTGTTCTGGGAGGCGGGACCAAATTAAAAGATTTTGTGTTTTGTGTGTTACTTGACTGAACAATCATTAGCTGCAGGAGAACTGGTAAAAGGGCGTTGGGTTTGGAGCTCGAGGCTAATATGATAGGACCATTATGCTCCACGACTTTCCTTTTC